CAAAGAAATATCCTGCCACTGATATGAATTTCATCTTTTCCCTGCCCATTCCCACCCTAACCATCCCTCCCCTCATCCCTCCTACCTTTACTGTTTACAGTACAGTAAGTGGAGAAAATGTAATTAATGAATATGAACTGATCAAAGACTGAAGGAAAGGTTTTAAGAAACTGCCTTTGTGCTTCTGACACGGTGTCATGTAATATAGTCCAGGCAGAGTAAGAAAGAGGAAAATATAGCTTTGAAATAATGGAATATACCTATTATATTTATTATGTTTCAAGTCTAGAAACACTTGGTAATCCTATAGTTAGTAACCAAGAAAATATAGGGAAAGTGAGAGCAAGAAATAATATTGCTTCTAGTGGCCACTCTTCAATTATCTTTCTCACTGAATCAAATTTAGCTCTTTATCACCTAGGAGGCCTAATCCTCTCCTTTTCATAGGGTAAATATAGGGTACAATAATTATCATTATAGTAATGTTTATAATACTTAGTTGTTCAGTTAGAGATCTCTCATGATTTTTGCCAACATCTATTAAGAAGAAGCCTCACAACATTCCTGTGAGGTAGATACTTGGATTCCCATTTTGCAGATGGGTTAACTGAGGCACAGAGGTGATGTGACTTGCCTAAGGTCAACCATGTAAGAGACTGGGAAAAATATGGAAGAGAGGCAACTTAGGGTAGCACCTCATTATCAGAGAGCCATATTTAGCTGTGAGAAAAGATAGTGCAGTTTCTTTAAATTGGGCCCACCCAGTTTCTTTTGTGTCCATCTGTCTATAGTACCTCATCAGGGATTAGCACACTATGAAAGATAAATACATTCCCTTGGTTTATTCAAGGTTAGGTCAATTTCCAATGGAATTTCTTTTACTAAAGTACATTAGAAAACTTTCTGGGGACAGGAGAGACCCCAGATTCTTAGAATTCAGATCACAGAAATCTCTAACTCCAGAATGTTGTAGACTACTTTGTTTTAAAGAATTGTTGGAATGCCAAAAATGTTATAATTATGTACATAAGCACTGGGTTTTAGTGATAAAGTTCTTTCTCATTGGTGTCCAGGTTAAGGATTCAGATAATGTTATATGTGTATATACTGGAATTGAACAATTAAGTAAATAGAGGGCAGAAGTTGGGAATCACGTTTTTCACTGTTGGAATGAAAGGCTACAGATAAGGGGCAAAAAGCTAGACTAATTCATGTAGTAATGGATTAGGGTTGCAACATCAATATGAACTCATGTATAGCTAAACAGATATGGATAATTACATCCAGAAATATTTATAGATGTGTATATACATAGGTTAGTATACACACCTATATTTCCTTGCTCTGTCAGCTGAGAAGGCCTCAAAGCAATAGCACTCTAGTAGCAACAAGCATACTTAATGCCCAGATCTAGGTTTCTAATACAATTCTATAGTAAAAGTAACCAGGATTCCTTGATGAAACAGCTGATTATAGTAGTGGGCCTGAAAATATGCAAAATGAGAATGGAACATCTTGCAGTGCCAGAAAGTAAGGACATTCTAAAAAAGTAATGGGCATATGTCAAAAGGACTTGAGAGTCAGCCCAAAAGACTTCCAAATGGCCAAAGTCAGAACAATTTGAGTTACAAAATAAATAAACTAGCATTGGATTACTACATAAAAGTATAAGATAAATATCCGAGTCCATGCTGATATAAATAAATGATTGTATAAATAAATAAATGAAGATAAATCACCCATGCAGAAAAGTTCTAAATAATTTATGTAGATACTTGCTCTAAAGGATGTGGTACGTGACTCAACACTCTCTAAATACGGGCTGCACATAGTGACTTCCTTCCAAAAAGTAAAGTATGGAAGGGAAGAAAAAGAGTATATGGGAGAAACCTGATAAATACAATCAATCTCAGCCAGTTCATCGAGGTTGACATCAAAAGTCCTAAGTCATGTAAATACCATGTGATGAAAATAGCACTTCACCTTTGTGATCTTTTTCGCCCAAACCCATTATGCCCATCTCTTCATGAGAAAAACATCAGACAAATCCCAATTGAAGAACATACTCTTTAAAACTGCTAAGGCCATTAAAAATGACCTTGAAAGGTAAATCTGAGAAACTGTCACACCAAGAGGAACTTGAGGAGATATGGTTATTAAATGTAATATGGTATTCTGAATGGGATGCTGAAACAGAAAGAGGATACGAGGTCAAAACTAAAGAAATCTGAATAAAGTATAAACTTCAGTTAATATTAATGTATTGATATTTTTTCATAGTTGTAGCAAACGTACACTACTAATGTAAGATGTTAGTAATGAGGAAATTAGATGTGTAGTATAGGGAATTCTACTATCTTCACAATTTTTTTGGTAAATCTGAAAATTTCCAAAATGAAAAGTTTATTTAAAAAAGTTTCTATGATAAACTTTTATTATTTTTTACCCATAACATACTTCACCTAATCTATCCAACCAGTTCACATTCCTCATATTTCCCCCAAATTTTATAGTCTTAATTATCAAGTTATGTTTAACTGCCAATCTTATACAGATGAAGGAATTCCACTGTAACAAATTCCATGATATTATTCAATTATTAGATAAAGTCATTTCTATATCCTAGGCAACTGTCACCCTAACAGTGCTTAGCTGGTATAAGTACATCAAATTCAGTTAAACCCCAAATGCTACCCAGGAGAGATACATTTTAGTTCCTTTCCACCTTGCTGTCTACCTAGCAAAGTTTTATGTGCTTTTGGTGCAGTAACTCTGTTGTGTAGTGTATTTGAATACATGTATTCTATGAAAATTCCTTTCATGAATCTTGACACGTTTCTTAAAGCTTATGTAATTGGAAAGAGTTTATTTTATTTTATTGAGAAGACAGGGCAATGAGAATAGGGTTAAAAATGCTTCTTGAGTAAAGACAATTAACAAAATCTCTCATTACTTTAAGAAAAATTTTAGAATAAAGTCTTAGGGATGTCAGGGACACCAATATTTGGGATCATAATTTGGTCATCCTAATTAGTGTAACAGTATGTTTGATAGCTTTTGCTTAGAAATAAACCAAATGTCCCAATGCAAATGATCCTGAGGTCTAAAGGGTATATATCAGGTCTGAACTCTGGAAAAGAAGTCCTAGGATCCAAACTGTGGAGAAAATGAATATGCCCTTGGGCTCTATTGTGAAATACTGTACCAACTACTCAATCATAAGCTTAAATCTATGTATGATGACAATCTACCTTTACCAACCTGTTTTACAGCTACAGAGATGTCTCCATGAACATACTGGCTCTAGATATTTCCTAGTGCTTTAATAATTAATATACAGTTTGGAACTTGCACACCAAAAGTCAGGAAAAAGCCCATATCAAAATAAGAATGATAATAGTAAAAACCTACATGTCATTTTGAAAAATACAGTCTTAAATTTATGGAGTTTATGGTCTAGAAAGACATTGCAAGTTGAAATGAGGTAAATAAAATCTAGATACTATAAAAGTGCTACAATAGAAAAACTGTGAGCCTAATGTTATATGGCAATGACCACAAGCACATTTTACTACGTCATCAACTATAAATTATTTTTGGGTGGTGTAAAGTTTTTTTTAAGTATAACATATAAAATTGGACAAATATTGCAACCAACCACGAAAAATTGTCTTTAATTTGGTTTAATAATGTGATCCCTGGAAGAATGAGTGTGCAGGTCTATAAGGCCTCAAGGAAACATCTGGAGAAAAAAATCTGACCCGTATTTGTCTTATCTGTAAAATACTAGGGATGGGTAGGACTAGACAGCTAAAAGGATCCCTTCTTGATGCTAGAAATCTGACTTAGAATGAACAGCCTCAGGAGGTAGTAACCTAAAGTATTCAAGCAGGGACTGGTTGAATATCTGCCAAGGAAAAGGGGTTCAATATGAAGATAATCTTTAGGAGAGAGGCTGAGACCAATCCAATTGATACAAAGCCCCCTTCCCCTCATTCTGGGAGAGGAAATATGCTATGTGGAGGTAGATCTGAGGTCCAGGGCCAGGAACAGGGGATTTCATGCCCCAGATAATATCATGAAACAGACTGATTAGGCAACCAAATGTGAATTTTGCAACCTGCTGTAATGGCTAAAAGAAATGGCTTAGGTGGTCATGCAGTTATAAAACATCAAATTGCTTTTTGTATGTCAGTTTTCACAAAAGCCCCTTATATTCCATTCAAAACACAGGAATGAATGCCAGTAATGCTATGAAGTGAACATAATTCCTTTCTTTCAACCTCTCACCTCTGTATAACATGGCCTCAATGTGTGATTTCTCATCATGTATTATACTGAATAGTTGCTTTATGTAAACAAAAGAATAAACAGTACAGTGAAGCCCCTCAAGACACTGTCTCAACAGGCTGGCATTTGAATGAGGTTTGTGATTAACAGCACTTTTAATATTCTATCCAAATTAAAGTCACCTTTTATTTGTTCTCAGGTTTGCCCCAAGTTTGCTTGTTCCTGTCACTGCCCAACATATTTTCCTGGAACACTGTTCTCCCTACTGAACTGAACTGTGCTTTGAATATTTGTCCAAATCTAACCTAACAAAGAATGTAACTGTGCCACAAAATCTTGAATCTTAAAGGAGCAGGAGGAGAAAGAGGAGAGGACAAGAAGATCCTTTCATTCCTTTTGATGGACTTAAGAAGCACCAGGACTGTCTGAAAACCAAACTGTAAGAAGAAATTGAAATGGATTTATAAAACTTTTAAGTTTGGTGTGAAATTCACCTTATTCACTGAGAAGATGCCCTATACTTAGGACCAAAATTCTTGTAAATCTTACCAGTCCACTATATTGTTATGCCTCCTTCATCTAGGAACTTGAGAAAAGTCATTTTAAGACCCCATCAACTGCCTTTAAGTACTGATTAAAAATACATACGTGTGTATATATACATATATACACACACATATATGTACATATATATGGATATGGATAAAAGTTATAGAAAACAAGAGAAAAAATAGAGGGAAAAAGCAGCGTATGTTTGTTCACAGCCTTGAGTTTGATTCCTGTTTTGTTATTGTAGGAAAAATGTCTATTTCAGGGAAGGGGTTTTGGGGCAGGGGCAGCCATGGGTGCCGCACTGGAATTCAACCCATGCGGAGGTTGAAAAAAATGAAGTCTGGATAGTGGAGAGGTGAAGGTGGAATATGAAGAGCCCCATGGGAGACTAGCTATTTTTTTCTCCAGTCTCCACAACCTGGCTCAGTAGGATCCTCCAACCCCATCCCAGAGGCAAGTTGAAGTCAAAGAGGAAGATATGGTCTTGACCTCAGCACACACACAGGAAAGAGACCAGTGCAGCTCCTCTAGTGTGGCCTATGGAGTTCACATGGTATCGTGGCGCCGGCGGTGCAGGGACAGGTGGTCAGAGCGAGAAAAGCTTCGGTTGCAGTCTGTACACCTGAAGGGCTTGATGCCTGTGTGCTTCCGGAAATGGCGGGTGAGCTCATCCGAGCGAGCAAATTTCCAGGAGCAGCCATCCCAGGTGCATTTATAAGGCTTCTCTCCTACAAAGGGAATTTGCCAAAACAATGGGAATCAGAGAGATGCTTGGCTCCTAGAAAGATAACACAATCCATAATTTTTTAAAATCAAAACTTTAGTCAAAAGGCAAGGCAATCACTTTGAAAGCATGCTCTGGTTCACCTTTTTAATTAATTAATTCAACAAACACCTATACTTATCACGTACAACATGATGTTTTGAAATATGTATTGATTGTGGATTGGCTGATTGCATTACCTCACATAAATTTTTTTGTGATGAGAACCCTTAAAATTTACTGCCATCAATTTTCAACAATACAATATATTTTTTATTTACAGAAATCATAAAACAAGGTCAAGATGGTAGGGTGGAAAGCATATAGCCTCTGACTCAATGAGACCCTTTTTTGAATCCTGGCTCTACCACACTAGCTGTGTGAGCTTAAAAAAATCACCATTCCCTGGCTGAGTCTCTGTTTTCTCATCTGTAAATGGGAGCAAAAATATCTTACAGTGTTGTTTAAAACATTTTCTCTTTTTTTTTTTTTAAAGAGAGAGTGAGAGAGGGGAGTGAGAGAGAGAGAGGGAGAGTGGGGGAGGGGGGGGGAGGGAATTTTTTTTAATATTTATTTTTCAGTTCTCGGCGGACACAACATCTTTGTTGGTATGTGGTGCTGGGGATCGAACCCGGGCCGCACGCATGCCAGGCGAGCGCGCTACCGCTGAGCCACATCTCCAGCCCAACATTTTCTCTTTTAATGATAGCTACTAAATAATAAAACTGGGACCCAAACTAGATCTTTATTGATACTTTCCACTGTACTATATGATAATAACCACATCTTCTCTCTATTACCTCCCACTGAACAGTCTAAAACAGAGCCATACTCAAGAAGAATCTATGACTCAGTAGAAAGGGCCCTCAGCTAAAGCTACAGGCCTTCTTTTGTGTATGGTTAGAAATGAATTTCTAATGCATCAAATGGTATGGGGAGAGGGCTCAGGTGAAAATTCCTGAAATACCTCTATGTTTAGAGTCTTTTGGTTGCATTTGGGATATATAATGTGCTCAGGATAGAAAGCCAAATGAAAAAAAAAGAAGTATAAAAACATTAACATAGTTATGCCTCCATTATATGTATAGGTCACACGCTGCATACACATTTGTATACTCAGAATAAAGGCAATACCAACACCTATACACTTAAATGTAAATTATTAAAGAAATTGTTAACAGTGAGGATGAGAGCTGGTGGGAAGAGTATTTTTTTCTTTTTTAAAATATCTTTTTGTACTATCTGAATGTTTTAAAATCATGGTATATCTTATAAAAATTTAATAAAAAAGTGAAGGAGCTATGTGAGTACAAATACATACTCATTGTGGTTAAGTCTGGGTTTGTGATTATGGTAATATTTGCTTTCTTCTCTATGTATTTTGCTGTCCTATCTGCTACAATGAGCATGCATTATTTTATAATCAGAAACAAGTGATAACATGAACACATTATTTTAAAATTCTGTTTTTCAGTGCTTCTCCTTCCTTTCTATTTCTCCTCATAAATTTTCCAGGACATTTGCATTTTTGCTTATTTAAATTTTGGTGGCAATCCGATATGCACATACTGTTTTTCAATTTACTGTTTACAATCTACTAACTCCCCCAAGTGTTTACTAATTAACTTTATAGCTTTCATATAATGGACAACAGAATGCATCCATCCTACCTCACAGCTTTGGACTGTACCCAGGCAATCATTTTGATGATTGAAATTGTCAGTTACTAATCATTTCAATATGCAGAATTTTGTTAGCAACTAAGAAAAATGAAATAGAGCTATATGTATTGAGACCAAAAGATGACCAATGAAATATCAAATGAAAAGAAAAAGCTACTGAATAACCACACGCGCGCGCACACACACACACACACACACATACACACACCAGACAAAGGGAAAATATGTGGAAAGCTATACAGAAAGTATTTAGAGCAGGAAAGAGAATGAAATTTCAAAGGGTATAGAATATGTAAACGTGATTTTCACTTTTTATTCTATATAATTTTGTACATCTCCATACCTTCAAACTGCTTCATTGTTACCTATACATATTTTTGTGATCTCTCAAGAATTTCTCTTGAGAATTCCTATCTTCACTACATCTAAATGAAGAAAATTTGAATTGTAAAGCAGTGACACCCTGTGGCAATTGGGATCATTGCTAGAACACACAAGGTATAGGAATTTTCCTATTTCAAAAGCATTACCTTTTATTATCATTGAACAAGCTCCTATTTGAGCTAATTTCATATGACACAACCCAAAACCTCCATCAATTTATTATGTGAAGTGAAGAACAAAACATATAGGGAAAATTAATTCATAATTAAAAGCTCACACACAATGTGACAAAGATAGTGTGGTGTAAGTTCCAAGTATAGATATTATAACCTCTGGTCTAGTGTTAAGGCATTAAAATGGAAGGGTAAGTTTCATATGAGTGATGAAGAAGACAAAAAGCAACCCAATCAGCTGGGGGCAAGCTCTGGTAAGGCAGTGCAGTGAATGGTAATATAAGGTCAGTGATCCTGGAGCATGAGGCATCTTTTCAGAAGCACTATAAGATGAACCCTATTATAAAAGCCAGGCCAAAAATCTTGGGGAGTAAAAAGGAATTTGGGCTTAAGTATAAAAAGCAGTAATATAACATAGAAAGTATGCAATCTGCACTGCATACAGGCTATAATCAAGATGCATTGACTATACAGAATTTTAAATTTTAAAACAATAATAAAATAGGCTGAGTTGGTCAGCTTTTTGTGGGTGGGGGTACTGGGGATTGAACTCAGGGGCATTTAACCACTGAGCCACATCCCCAACCCTGTAAGGTATTTTATTTAGAGATCCTCCTGTCTCAGCCTCCTGAGCTGCTAGGATTACAGGCGTGCATCACTATGCCCAGCTGGTCTGCTTTTATTATTACCATGCACCAATTTTAAACCATGTCCATGACATTCCTCTCTCCACTAGGAGAGAGAGCTCCGACTATCTTCTCCTTTTTGGTAAAGCACTTCATGAAGGCAATGGGGTATATATTGGGGTAACACTGAAGATTTTTTTAAACTTAAGGGTTACTTATTCAAAGTTGTATGTTAAAATTATCTAGCCATGATATGTAATGAATAAGAGGCTACTGACACAAAGTAAGTGATCAAATTGTTGAAAAGATAAAGAAATCAAGAATGAATGTAAGAAAAAACCTATGGGGGTGCAGTGGGACTGGAGGAAAGAATATTAATAATGGCTAAAAGTTATCAAGTGTTTACTATAGTCAGATTCTAAGAGATTTACACTATTACTGTTTCCAGATAAGGAAACAGGTAAAGAAAGGTGAAATAACTTTTGGCAATTGGTAGGAGACTAAGATGTCAAATATGACAGTGTAGTTTACAACACATGCTCTTAGCCATTATACTTGCATCCCCCAATGAAAAAATTATTCAAAACAAGAAAGAAATAATAGAGCTTTAAGAAAAATGTCTGGGCTGGGGATGTGGCTCAAGCGGTAGCGCGCTTGCCTGGCATGCGTGCGGCCCGGGTTCGATCCTCAGCACCACATACCAACAAAGATGTTGTGTCCGCCGAGAACTAAAAAAAAATAAATATTAAAAAAAATTCTCTCTCTCTCTCTCTCTCCACTCTCTCTTTAAAAAAAAAGAAAAATGTCTAAGTATATAAGAGAATATTAAGATTCAATGATAAACCAGGCGCAGTGGCACAAACCTATAATCCCAGTGGCTTGGGGAGCTGAGGCAGGAGGATTGGAAGTTCAAAGTAGGCTCAGCAATTTAGCAAGGCCCTGTCTCTAAATAAAATATTTAAAAGGGCTGAAGATGTGGCTAAGTGATTAAGTGCCCCTGGGTTCAATTCCCAGTACTTAAAAAAAAAAAACCAATGATAAATTTTGACTCTGAGTTATGCTATTATTTAAAAAATGGGACTTGAAGGTATGTTTAATGGGACCTGTTGTATCTGTATTTCCTCCTTTACATGAGTGCAAGCTTAGAGATGAGGGTTTCACTGCATGCAAGAAGGGTCTCTGAGATTCTTGGATCTCTTCTAAAAGAATTTCTACCAAAAACAGGGATATTATTCTTAGGATTTATAGCAATGAGCTGAAATCAATCCTGCCTTCTTCTCTCTCCCCTTTGTAGAATACAGGTGCTCTACTGAGCTGCATCCACAGCCCTTTTTATTTTTAATTTTGAGACAGGGTCTCACTAAATTGCTGAGGATGGCCTTGCATTTGTGATCCTTCTGCCTCAGCCTTCCAATTTGCTAGGATTACAGGTATGTACTATTGTGCCTGGATTCACATGGTTAACTTTGTGTGTGTGTGTGTGTGTGTGTGTGTGTGTGTGTGTGGTGCTGGGGTTTGAGTGCATGCAAGACAAGCACTCTACCAAATGAGCTATATCCCCAATCCACATGGTTAACTTTTTAATGGCAAATCCAGGGAAATTTGATTCTCCACCATTGCTTTTTCCATTCCATACTATAGTTTCTCCACATATAAAATTAATCCTTAAGTTAGTGATGCTTAGTCTTGACTGAAAATGGGGAGCTTTAAAAATTACTGACATCTGGGTCACACCCAAAGTTTCTGATTTAACAGATCTGGAGTGTGACTCAAATGTGGAAATTTTAAAGGTTACATTTTCCCCATTGGAGATTGAGAACTCGAACTAATAAGTCCTAACTGCAATCTTTGGAAGGCAATGAATTAGGCATTTCTGCAACTGCCTTAGTCTCAAGGAACATGTAGAATAGTAGCAATAGAGAAAAGGATACCTAGTAAGTTTTCATTTCAAGGAAGTTTTCCTGCTTACTAGCTGTGTGATTGTTGACAAACTACCCATCTTTGTAACTGGCACTTCCATCTACCCAATCGGCCCAAATAGAAAACTGAGTCATCAGAGTCCCCTCAATCATCATGTATATATCTCATTTTCTGTACCTCCACTGCCAACATCGTAATCAGACTGTCCTCATTTTTGGCCTAGGTTGCTACCTTAGCCTCTTAAATGGTCTCCCTCCCTTCCACTCTTGCACCTCAATGCTTCCCCTACCTACCATCATACTCAGTATGCTCTAGCTGTGCTGGACTTCTGTCAGTTATGTTAAAAATGCAAGCTTATTCCCATCTTGCAGATTTTGTACTCCATCTAGTTAAGAACACTCTTTCCTCAGTTTTTTTTTTGTATAGTTGACCCCTTCTCAGATTGATTATGTTATTTCCCAACTTAAAAATCCTTCCTACCAACAAATTAAATAGGGTATTCTTATGTTGATAATTGGGAGAGGATACTGCTTAGGCTTAAGGAAGACTTTCATGATCAGAAGACATTTAAACTGAGATATGACAGATAAGAAGTGTCATAGATGAAACTTGTCAGAGGCCACATTTCACAGGGCCTTTTAGGATATTGTAAGGAATTTGGATTTCATTCAGAGTATGATGGAAAGTATTTTAAGCAGAAGCAGTTATATGGTTTGATTTACATTTAATCTAAACAGAACAAAAACATATGAAAATCCTCTGACTACTGTATGAAGAATGAATTGTAGTGAGAAAAGCATTAAGGCAGGAAGATTAGTTAGGCTACTACTACATTAGTCCAGGGAAGGAGATGAATTAACAAATTGCCACCTCATTCCCCAAAATGGCTAACCCTATTGTGACTCAAGTTGTTAGGGCAAATTAAATTGCTTCTGAGAAGTGCCTTCAAGATTACCCTTGAGATTATATATCCATGGAAAGATTGCATGTTAATTCCTTGGATCTTCTAGAAGGGTAAATACTAGGATACACTGAAATTTAGGCCATAGGGTTGCAGATAAAATAGTCAGATAGGGTCATCCAGTTCAACCCCTTCATTTTACAGCTGAAGAAACCCTGGATAGTCGGAGAGGTAGGATTAGAACTCATGCATTCTATACCCCCTGTTTATTGTTTTTGCCTCGATAACTTCAAGGGGAACAATTTTAAGGATTAAAGAGGAATATTTGAACAGATGTGATCTGATGTATTGTTGAGTATAGAAGAATGAATTGAAATTGGGAAAGATCATCTGAACCCTACTCTCTAGATAAATCTACAATATATACATGCTAAAACCATACCACATTGCCTCTCATTAAATGAACTTATTCAACTGCCTTCAGATCTGCTTTATAACTATCTAGAAAATACAGTTCAGAGACCCAAACCCATGGATCTATCTTAGCATCACACACAAACAACTAAGAAGCATGTGCCAAAATGCTATGCAATAGAAAGTACACAGCACCCTTTGATATATTGTTGCCAAAAACTTAATGTAAATCTGATTAATCTTCCAGGTATAGTTATCAGCTTGTAGGAATTATGGGGAACAAGGAATAATTTAAAATGACTGATGTAACCAGAGAAACTTAGAACATGGAAACATTGGATTAGACTAATGACCTGGGCTCTTCAACAAATAAAACAGAAGAGGAAGAACAATTAAAGAATTAAAAGATAACTAAGAGAAATATTAACCAAATTCAATTAATGACCGCATTTAGATATTGATTTGAACAACCTTTTAAAAATAGTTATTAGATATTTAGGGGAAACTTGATATTGAGAAATTTTATGTGCTAATGTTATTGTGCTTATTTTAAGTGTCTGTTAAAAACATATTCTGAAGTATTTATGACTGAAATTGCAGGATATTTGGAATTTGTTTTCAAACAATATAATGGGCTGGGTGTGGTAATGCACACCTATAATCCCAGTGGCTCAGGAGGCTGAGGCAGGAGGATCACAAATTCAAAACCAGTCTCAGCAAAAGTGTTGCGCTGAGCAACTCAGTGAGACCCTGTCTCTAAATAAAATACAAGATAGGGCTGGGGATGTGGGTCAATGGCTGAGTGCCCCTGAGTTCAATCCCTGGTATCCCCCAAAAAGTAAAATAAAATAATATAATGGGAAGTGGGAGAGTCAGTGGGAGTATAAAAGGAACAAGATTGTCCATGTAAATTAATAAAATTCTTAAAGTTCGATGAAGGGTACATTGAAGTCTAATAAACTATTCTGCCTTTTCATGTTGAAAATTTAGATTTAAATACTTAATATCATATATATAGTCAGTGGAGTTAGCATCCACCTGCTGAAGAAGCAAACAAAAACATCAATAAATAAAAATAGTACCATGCAATCTGAAGATATAGTCACTAAGGCTCTGGGCTCTTCTATATGAATTCTAACACAGCAAATAAAACACAATAGATAGAGGGCATCTTCTTTGTTCAAGGTGTCTAAGTCTCAATTCTGAGCTGGAGGTTGCTGAGAGCAGTCATTAAGGCAAAGTACACAAAATGATCAGACATTCTGTGTCTGGATTCTGGGCAGGTTTCTTTCAATTGTTGATGTTATAAAATTATTAAAAAATTTTTGAACTAGATGTCAACATTCAAAATCTAAGACATTTTAGCCAGGTGTGGTGGTGCACACCTGTAATCTCAGAGGCTTGGAAGGCTGAGGCAGGAGGATTGCGAGTTCAAAGCCAGCCTCAGCAACTTAGTAAAGCCCTAAATAATTCAATGAGACCTGTCTCTAAATAAAATACAAAAAAGGGCTGAGGATGTGGCTCAGTGGTAAAGCACCTGTGGATTCACTTCCCAGTACCAAAAAAACAAAACAAAACAAAACAAAACAAAAAAACTCACCCACAACTAAGATACTTCAAATAAAAAACCTTGATTTAAACTTAGGAGATTTCCTAATACTCAGTTGGAGTAGGGTGGCAACTGTCCTTCAAATGAAGCAGGAGTCCCCTTTGACACAATCCTTACCCAGTCTGCTTTAATTATTTAGGTGCATCTTTCTTCAGATGTAAACAAAGATAAATTATAGGTTAGTGTTCAGAGCTGAGCTCCAAAAGCCTTCTTTAATATCACTAAGTTTAAATTGCTTTTGTGCTTTTCCATGCTCATTAAAATTTTGAGGGGGCTGGGGATGTGGCTCAAGCAGTAGCGCGCTTGCCTGGCATGTGTGCGGCCCGGGTTCGATCCTCAGCACCACATACCAACGAAGATGTTGTGTCCGCCGAGAAATAAAAAATAAATATTAAAAATTCTCTCTCTCTCTCCTCTCTCACTCTCTCTTAAAAAAAATAAAATAAAATTTTGGGGACCCTAGTCACAAAGGAGGTAATAATGTTTTAGCTGCCTTAATCTTTGCTTCAGTGTTATGGCTTATTAATTAGAAAGACCCATGGGTGCTCACCAGGAATGACGACCACTCATAAGAAACCAGGTTTCATGTTTTGCTAGTCTCATTTTATAAATGTTGTCATAGAACATGGATGAGACATGGAGGTTAAAACCATGAGTTGGGCATGTCCATGAATATTAATGAATCCATCTCTTTTTAAAATATTTTTTTTTAGTTGTCAATGGACCTCCATTTTATTTATTTTTATGTGGTGCAGAGAATTGAACCCAGTGCCTCATACATGCTAGGCAAGCACTCTACCAACCAGCCACCACTCCAGCCCCCAAATGAATCCATCTTTGCCTCAAGACTTCCTTCTCTTCCTAGCTCTCAAGTGTGTGTATGTCTCTCTCTCTCTCTCTCTCTCTGTGTGTGTGTGTGTGTGTGTGTGTGTGTGTGTGTGTGTGTGTGTGTGAGAGAGAGAGAGAGAGAGAGAGAGAGAGAGAGAGAGAGAGAGAGAGAGAGAGAGAGAGAGAGAGTGAGTTTTGGAGTTGAATTGGGGGCAGGCAGACCTGTATGGATTCTGCGGTGAGCTTTCAGGTGAGAGCTTTTGGTGTACACTTTGCTGCATCCTGCAAAGTCACATTGGTGAATCCGTCTTCTCTTCAAGTCAAGTGACTCTTCCCCCTGCATTTGGGCCATTGTTGCTGGTCTGAGCAAAGAAAGAGAGAGATAGGCCAAAGAATGGCTTTAAAGTAGAATCTAAAGAAATAGAGTTTATTAAAGTGGTTCTACCTCATACCAGTTTTTAATTTATGCAAATTTAATGTTAGCTCTACAAGTGAAGAAGTAATTGGAATAATGCAAGCAATTCTTTCAACTAGGCCATTCTATTCAGGAAGTGTAGGTTCCTGAAAAAGCATGGGAAATGGTAACGTTTCCTTGGGTGGTTGTGTTCCCAAATAGGGCAACCATTTCACCGTGATGAGTGTCATTTTTCATACACATGGTTGCTAAACACAAACCAATTACTTCCAATTAGTTTCAACATTAGAAAGTCAGGTTGTTTTAAACTTACAGAGGAAAAGAGTACGCAACTGAATTTATGAGGAATTTGGAGATTGTTTTCAAGGGTAAAATTAATGATCTACAATTAGAGTATAACTCTACCATAACCTTTATGCACGTGTTCATGCACATGTGTGCACATGAACTCATATATCTTCTCTGGGAAGGCAGTTTGCCTATATTGCCAATTTTTTTTTACCCTGTTTCTGAAAATTAAGTCCATCTCTATGCACTCAAGCACATACACACACACACACACACGCACACATAAGATACAGACTTGAAGTAAAGACAAAAGTACTCACTCTTGCTGGAGTCCCTGTAGACTCTGTAAGGCTGAAGATCCACTCTCAATTGCACTCTCTTCACTGTCACTAGGAATCTCCAGTGGAGACATGGAGGTGGGATCAACTTTCACTAAAAGCAAAGAAAAGAAGCAGTATGAGCCAGAAAGAATGTATGTGCCTCCACAATCATTTTCAGGATTCTCAGTTTGATCAATATTGAGAAGTATCAGCAAAAAAGAAAAATAAAGCTGGCTGTGGTGGTGCACACCTGTCATCCCAATGGCTCTGGAGGCTGAGGCAGGAGGATTGAGAGTTCAAAGCCAGCCTTGGCAACTTATTGAGACCCTGTCTCTAAATAAAATGTAAAAAAGGGCTGGGGATGTGGCTCAGTGGTTAAGTGCCCCTGGGTTCAATCCCCTGAAATGCCCACCTCCCCCCAATAGAAAAATAAAGAAAGAGGAGAGCTGGGAGAAGTGTATATGTGTGGAAAGAAGATGATAATATATAAAATTTTAGCATAGCAAAGAACAGAAATGCCTTTAAAAGAAGAGTGGTAAGAATCATTTTGGTACCACTAGAATGTGAATTTCTCTAGGATAGGATCTGAGTATGATTCATGTCTCCATCTCCAGATTCCAGGACAGGGTCTGTTGAAAAGTCAGATTCAACATGTTTGTTGAACTGAATTCTCTGAATGGTTCCCTGGTTGTTCTAAAATAATTTCTAGGATTATCCTAGAGGTTTGAACATCTCCTTTGGCCTTCATGCTCCTAAATGAAAATAATAAGTGCAATAAAACATGTACCTAGCACCTAGTAGATGCTTGACACATGTTAGCACTCTTCTTTTGTGCTACTGTTGGGAGAAGCCCTCAAACATTCCTTATTATCAACCACTGCTGTTTTCATTTCCTAGCAAAGTTCAGTCAGGTGCTCAATAGATGCCCAGATCCACTGAAAGCTTCAAAATTTACACCCACCTGAGGGTGGGTATAGGTTGAGAGGAAGTATTTGGCTAGTCCAGGTGTCTTTATACTTTATTAATCACTAAATCATTTTAAACATACATCTCAGTATATGTACATGTCTGTCTCTCTGTGTCTGTATGTGAATGTGATATAAATGTACTAGTGTCTTAAAAGTTTGTGTACATTATGAAAAACAAAAAGTGACATGAAAAAGGGTAAGAATATATATTTTGGTAATTTGTTATTACACTCCAGTTGTTTTGTGTGCCTCCCTAAGGTTTAAACACCCCATTTTGGAGGCCATTGAATTAATGTCCTTATCTTGGAACTCTATTTTACACCTTTAAAAAAATCTTAGTTTGTTTATTTAAGGTGGCTCTGGTGAATTGATGAATACTTTGAGTCGGGTGGGGAAGAATTCAACGCTCCTTCAAATCACTCCTTGATGATCTGACTGCCTTATCTCAGAAAATTTTCACACAGGGAAAGTTTATTACCTTTTTCTGGGCTCCTCTTATACAGAAACTGATATCATATCTCAAAAACAAGATAATTATGAATATTTATCAATACCACAATTAACCACTATTCTATAATAATATTTTTATTTAGAAAAGCACTGCAGAGTCTCAGAAACTTGAGGCTTTGTATGTTTTTTTTTTTTTTTTAAAGAGAGAGTGAGAGGAGAGAGAGAGAGAGAATTTTTTTAATATTTATTTTTTAGTTCTCGGCGGACACAACATCTTTGTTGGTATGTGGTGCTGAGGATCGAACCCGGGCCGCACGCATGCCAGGCGAGCGCGCTACCGCTTGAGCCACATCCCCAGCCCTTTGTATGTTGGTTTTTAACCTCTACATTTAGTGATGGAATGATCACAGGACATTGAATTTCAAAGGAAGAGAACTCCTTGAAAATTCCTTATTATAATGAGCTAAAATTTTGTTCCTAATAATTTCCATCCACATCTCTTCCCTTTGGCCCTTTTAATTCATGCTAAATATTGTCAACTTTACAATTGACATGGGTTTGAATCCTCTTATCATCCTGATTTCAATCTTCTGATTATCCTCCCAATTTGTAAATGTCTTTCCTAAGGCACAATGCACAAAACTGACTGTAATACTACAGATGTGGTGAAGCTAATTATCTTGTACCACCTCTGAGGCCATATAATTTTCTTTGATCATTCCTGATTACAAACTAAAATAGATATACCTCTCTAGGAGGGGAACAGCATTGCTGGGAGATAATGGTGAAAAGGAGACTTTATTTATACTCTTATGAATTCTGAACTTAAAAATTAAATAAAAAGAAAGATTACAGCATATGATTTCTCTTCTGGACAAATATTCATTTGTTTGCTCATTAAATTATATGTTGTAAGATAACTACTATGTAACACTGTGTTAAGGTCTCTGGAAAGGCGCATGCACACACAAAAGAAGACAGTATTATTCTTGAGGAATTTATAATTCAGCAGGGAATAAGGCCCATATATTTATGATACAGGTAATCAAAAAATAAAAGGGGGGTAATAGATGCCCAATGAGGTGAAATACAGGAAAGATGGCAATATTTTAAAGATACTATTTTGTAGGAAAGAAAAAAGGTATGATACTTATAAGTTAACTAAGTATCACAGAAGTAGAAATTGTGTATGTGGCTCAGTGGTAGATCGTTCGCCTAGCACATGCTAGGTCCTGGGTTCAATCTTCAGCACCACATAAAAATTTAAAAAATAAAGACATTATGTCCATCTACAACTAAAAAATTTTTAAAAAATGTGTCCCCCCCCCTTTTTTTCAGAGTCCCTCTAAGTAGTTTAGGGACTTATTAAGTTTCTGAAGCTGGTTTGAATTTGCGATTCTCCTGCTTCAGCCTCCTGAGACCCTGGGATTACAGTGGGGTTACAACCACACCTGGCTCATTGTACATTCTGTATTGGGGGAGGGTATGGGGGATTGAACTCAGGGGCACTCAATAACTAAACCAGATCCCCAGCTCTTTTATTTAGAGATAGGGTCTCACTGAGTTGCTTAGTGCCTTGCCATTGCTGAGGCTGGCTTTGAAGTCACAGTCCTCCTGCCTCAGCCTCCCAAGCCTATGGATTACAGGCGCCACCGCCTTCTTATACATTCTTAAGCATTAAAGAGATATGATAAAAACAGTGTATATGAAAGACTATCCTTAAAGCAGTGAGGAAGAATAATTGGAGGGAGTGAAAAGAGGCAGGAGATAGAATGATTTGAAAAGATGGAGGAAAACAAGGCTGAGGACAAGGGAAACATTAATGCTCACCTGATCCAGCATTTTTGCCATCTCCTCCAATGAGCGGGACCGTAATGGCAGCAGGGCCTCCATCTGTAGGCAAACTGGTATACACCATGGGCAGGGACTGCACCACCACTGGTATGGTCTTCAGTCCACCCATTTTATTTGGCAGACTGACTGAGGGGATGGTGTGAATCACATGTAATATCTGTTGGCCACCAGTCCCCTGAGAGGAGGCCAGTATAGAACCTGGAGTCAGAATAGTAGGGATGTTTGCTGAAGTGGTCGTTTCAGATGTTGAAGTGGACACCACAAGGCCCTGGGGAGCAGACTGTGGCTTGGGAGGACGTATTGGAGCTTGCAACATACTAGCAGGCTGGAGAGGAGCCTTGGGTTTGTGAAAGGAGAGATCAACTGGTTCCACTTGGGGCAAGTTGAAATCATTTGCTAGAAGTTCTTCTGGGGGCTCAATCTTGATATCATTAAATAGGGCTGGGTTCTCCATCGGGCTCGCATCCAGGAGTGGTGGAGATGTCATATTACTTCCGTCAGCTGTGTCAGTGGGATCTCTGATCTGAACAGGACCAGTGACCTAAAATAAATAATCAAATGAAAGATGCTAAATACTGTAAGTATTCTAAAGAGACATGTGAGAAACAAAAGAAAAAATTCTCTGTTCTCACTGAAAAAATATAGCTGAGTGCAATCACATACCTATAATCCTAGTGTCTCAGGAGGCTGAGGCAGGAGGATTGCAAATTTCAGGCCAGCCTCAGCAACTCTAGTAAGGTTCTGTCTCAAAATAAATAATAAAAAGGGCTAGGGATATAGCTTAGTGTCAGAGTGCACCTAGGTTCAATTCCCAGTACAACAAAATACATGTGCCCCTCCCCCAGCACAAAGTGTTGGGGAAAATTAGGTACAAATACACCAAAGAGAAAAAGTTTGCTAAGCTTTAGTAAGTACTGGTACTATATCAGGTAATTGATAGAAATCATTTCATTTAATTTTCACAATAATCCTGCAATATTAATTAAAGTCGATACTTTTGGTGCATGTACTATAAGCATTATGCCAAGTCCAGTGACAGCATACATAAAAAAGGTACAGCTAAGGAGTTCATACTAACATAGAATAGTGTGTTAGTATAGAATAATGCAAGTATCTTATGAGTTATACCATAAATGTGATGTGACACATAAACAAGGTATTTTGGAAAAAGAAAAAGGAATGGTTCATTTTATCTAGACAGGGAAAACTTCATAGAGGAAGTGACATTTTAGATGAGTTTTAAAAATAATAGGATTTCTCTAGGCAGAAAGAGGTAAGAAAGATGTTTCTTGTCTGCAGAGATATAACAAACAAATGTTTAATGAATATCAATGCAGTATAGTTAGTTGTATTATATGAAAAATTAAATCATCCAACTTAGAAATGGAAACAACCCAAGTGTCCATCAACTAATGAATGAGTAAAGAAAATGCTGTACATATAGCAATGGAGTAGTATTCATCCATAAAAGGAATGAAATCCTGTCATTTGAAACAACATGGATGGAACTGGAAATTACAAGCCAGGCACAGAAAGATATGTACTGCATGATTTCATTCGTATGTGGAATCTAAGAGTTTATTCCACAGAAGTTTAGAGATTCTACCATTCTAGGTGACTACCAGAGATTGGGGACAGTGGTAGGGGAGAGATGGGAAAGGTTGAACAATGAGTATAAAAAAAAAGATACAGTTAGATAGGAACAAGAGACTCTGGGCTATTTATTGCCCATTATTGTGACTAGATAACAATAAAGCATTTCAAAAAGCTGAAAGAAAGGAGTGAAAAATTTCACAACTAAGAAATACCAAATATTTGAGGAGATAGATATGTTTAACCTGATTTAAACATGACTCAACAGATGTGTATTGAAACATTACATTATTATTACATTATTATGTAAAATTTTATGTTCTATGTCAGTAAAGAAATATTTTTAAATACTAATAAATTACCATTGTATGTAATATAAAACAATGTAGAGTTCCAACCTAACTAAAAACTTTCTAAGAATTCCATAATTTGAAACATCAAAAGATACTGTGAAATATGTATGCCATTGCCAAGCAGCACTCTGGATCTTGACAACAAGTCTCCATGATATTCTGAGTCATAATAGTTTTAAATTATGAGAGATATTCAAGAATGCATCCTTTATATAAAATAGAAACATCCTTTGGTGTTTTATATTTGGAAGATTAGGGAAGGTCGAGTCCAAGGAAAGGTTGAAGACAATTGTTTGGAAGAGTGGAGTGATATGGCAGAACTATTCCTATGAGATTTTTTTTTTTTTTGTGTGTGTGTGTGTGTGTGTGTGTGTGTGTGGTGCTGGGGATTGAACCCAGGGCCTTGGGCATGCAAGGTAAGCACCCCACCAACTGAGCTATATCCCTACCCTCTATGAGATTTAACTAGCTCCTCAATGAAGGTAGTGTTAAAGAAAAGATTGGACGCAAAAGGACCAAAAAGAAAGCAAGTATAAACATCTTAGTGAGATATTTATGAGACATTTGGAGAAATCTGAATATTGACTGAATGTTGGATATTAAAGAATTATTGTTAAATGTAATGTGTGGGGCTGGGGTTGTGGCTCAGTGGTAGAGCGCTTGCCTAACACTCCTAAGGCACTGGGTTCAATCCTCAACACCACATAAACAAAAAGCTAAATAAACAAAATACAGGTATTGTGTCCATCTATAACTAAGGAATATTTTTAAAAATGTAATGTTTGATAATAATATTATGTTCATAAATAATTTTTAAATTTAGCTGAGATCATAAGGGCCTTAATTCAGAGAAAGGTGAAGGGTCTGGGGAGGTACTGTTCTCTTGCTCTGACTTTATTTAAAAAACCCTCAGAGCATGCTGGGAATGAGGTAAAGGGCACCCAAAGCATCCGTGCTTTATCTTCAGAATTTAACCAGAATGTTGCCTATTTTTACCTTTTGCTATGCTGAGACACTATTTGGTTCTTGATTTTAAAATCCCTAATTCAACTCAGGCCTAGTTTGTAATCTAAACCCTTGCTTTAGTCTACTCATCCAGGACATAATTTTTGTGATTTTTCGTACTATTGCATATACTTCTAATATAATCCATCCTTAATGGGTGGATTCAATTCATCTGGGGAAGGGGAAGGCAGTAGAATCTTTAGGCAGTGGTATTTGTGAGGTGTAGCGAGAAGAGAGAAGAAAATATCAAGAATGGTTTTGCTGGACATAAAAATCCCAGTCCACTGAATCCCCCAAACCAATTTAAGTTTTTATTTTTCCTACATTTCCCACTTGTTTTGTTTTATTCCCAGATAAAAGAGGCCAAATCCAAGGAATCTCTAAAAGAGAACAGGAAGGGCTTCTGTTTCCATAGTCTATCACAGCTGTCAATGATATTAAGAAATGGGCACGGTGGTGTATGCCTGTAATCCCAGCGGCTTGGGATGCTGAGGCAGGAGGACCACTAGTTCAAAGCCAGCTTCAGCAATTTAGCAAGACCCTAAGCAACTCAGACAGACCCTATCTCTAAATAAAATATATAAAAAAAGGCTGGGGATGTGGCTCAGTGGTTAAGTACCCTTGGGTTCAATCCCCAGTACCCCCCCCCCAAAAAAAAAGCTTAAGTAGTTAGGTATAATATTATTTTCTATAAGAATGTGTATTGTGGGTACAGGTATATAAATAGACACAATCTGCTAATAACATCAAGAAAAGATGTAGCTAAATTATTAGGGACTTTCTGGATTTTATTTTATGAGGCCGAAACTCTAAATATATAAAGTGAAAATTATTTTGGTAATTTTTCTCTCTTTTGCCAAACAAAGGCCATTTCCAAGATGCTGAGTACTACCTACAATAATAGTATTAATTCAAGGCCTGGTGCCTAGTTGGTATTTGATCTACAGTTATTCATTTCACTGAAAACACATAATTTAGGGAGATCCAAAATGGAAACTAACTCACGAAAGTATAGAAATTGAAGAACAAATAGGTTATTCTTATTGCCTTGATGAGATATTATTTTCCTGCTCTAATAAGCCGTCCTGAGTTGCCCTTTATAGATTAAGTCTGCCTTGCAGTCTTTCAGACCAAAACCCAGTCTGCCACAGGACTTCAATCATTCCCCTCTCCTACCATCATCCCATGACTTTGATAGAAATGTTAGAAGGCTAGTTGTTTGGGTTTCTGTGTTTTAATAGTAAAATTCCTCAGAGCATATCATCAAATTTTCCTTTTGTACATATCACTTTCAAGAGTGCTTGTTATATCCAAGTAAATCCAGCCCACAGCAAGTATTTTCTGTTTCAATACTGTCTTCTGCAAGCAAGCTTCCTCAACAAAACAGATTACTCTCGAAAGCAGCTCTCAAGGTTATTCTTACTATTCCTGGCTTTGTGGCTTAAAGACAAGTTTTCAATATTTATACAGTCACATAATGAAAAGTTTTTGTGTGCACTGAGGATTCTCTTTTCAACATGATTAAAATTATTTTCATAGGATCCTAATTACACTGATTTATTCTATATTATCACTATAAGGATCCCTCTTGTTAAAAAAAAACCACACTATATGCTTTCCTTTCTCTTTCCACATAGTGCATTATACTTAAAGACTCTGAAGAAGACATAATGTAAAGAATGGGTGTGTTTTCAACCCTAGAACTTTGGTGACTTTAAGAATACTCACTAAGCTGGGCACGGTGGTACACACTTGCAATCCTAGCAGCTTGGGAGGCTGAGGCAGGATGATCGGGAGTTCAAAGCCAGCCTCAGCAAAAGTAAGGCACTAAGCAACTCAATGAGACCCTGTCTCTAACTAAAATACAAAATAGGAGTAGGGCTCAGTGGGTGAGTGCCTCTGAATAATTCCCAGTATCTCAATCTTAAAAAAAAAAATTCTCACTAAGATGATACAGGTTGGCTCCCTATTCTACTATTCATTGAATATTAACTTTGAAAGTTAATCTGAGCATTGACTTAAAGCTCTGCCATCAGAAATCTGAAAATTTTTCACTCTAAGTCACATTTTTCATCTTCATTGTTGTTACAGTTTGGATATGGATTGTTCCCCAAAGGCTCATGTGTTGAAGACTTGATCCCCAATGAGCAATGTTCAGAGGTGGAAGTTGTAGAAAGTGATTGGCTCAAGAGGATTCTGAACTCATCAGTGGATTAATCCATGGATTAATTCACTATTTATATGTCATAGAAGCTGTTGGAAGTGGAAGCTAGTTAGAAGATGTAGGTCCTTCGGGGTGTGCCCTTGGGATCTATATCTTGTCCTGGGACTCTGCTTCTCTCTCTGCTTCCTGGATGTCATGGGGTGTATAGCTTTCTTCTGCTATGCCAACCTGCCATGATGTTTCTCCTTGCTTAAGGCCTAAAAGCAATGGAGCCATTGCTGTAGCCAAGCAATGGCATAAATATTCTGAAGCCATGAGCCCAAATAAACCTTTTCTCCTTTAAGCTGTTTTTTTTTTCAGGTATTTGTCACAGCAACAAAAACTTGACAATTACAAATACTTTGGGATGGCTCCAGTTTTTAAGTGTTCTCTAGCCAATCATTATCACTCTTCAAGAAAGATAATGGCTACTTTTCCCATTTTCTATTTTAAAATCTGAAGCTACAGCTTTCTAGAATTTTTGAGTCTATGAAGGTCATGCACGAGAAAAAAAAAAAAAGACAGAAACTTGGGAGAAAATTGAGAGAAGCTTTAGTTTACACAGTATTCATCCTCAAATTCCCAGAATCCTAATCCATTTTTTAAAAGCCAATCTGAGTTGGCCATTTAAAAAAAATCTTTATTGATATATTACCAAAGGTGATAGAGAAAGGCACTTAGGAATCCCCGATTCTAGAAAGAAATCCAGAGAAAAGGTGGTCAATTTCACAAAGATTTAAGCTCTTGAGTATTTGATAAAATAGCAATGAAAAGCCTTAGGTGATGAATGATCAGAAAAATCAACTATTAAAAACAAAGTTTCCACCTTTCATTTATTTGAAACAGCCATGATGTGGAACATTAAAGTGGGAAGGCACGACTAGAAAGAAAATGAAAGAACAAAATACTTCAGACAGCACAGTAGGTGGAAAGGAGAGTAAGGAGCGTTGTCATGGTAACAAGATAAAGCCCAGGCTCCTCCCTAAGAGAAAGATGAATGCTGTTTTTGTACACAGGTCTCTCCTAGCTTTTCTCTGGGTGTAGACTAATCATTTTCATGCCTGGGTGCACATGTGTGGGCATACACACATATATTGTGCACATTCATTGTTTAGGTCAAAAATCAGTTTAACCCTCTGAAACTCTAAACCTTCTACATTAAGGACATCATACATGTTAGTATTAGAGAAAATAGAGGTGGATGGAGATGGATATTATTAGAAAGCCAGACTTAAACTAAATCAAGAGGAATTTTGAATCTTATATCACCACCATCTCAACAGCATCAGGAAATAAAGCACTGTAGGACAAAAGAATTCATCAATTTGTACAAACTGATGAACTAGGCAATCTTAAGGGAATAAGATAGTAGCAGCCACATCTATGGAAAATGAGATCAGAAATGTACATATGTATGTATGTACATATATATGTATAAGATATATATATATATATATATATTTACATGTATGCCTATATTATTTCATTAGGTATTTACTTAGTATTTCATATAAAATATGGAAACATTCAGCATGAAACTATGGAAAATGAAAAACAATAAGATAAAACAATTTTTCTTTCTCAAAGCATCTGAGAAAATTTCTGGATGATATATGGATGAAGTAATCTCATTCTAATAAAAATTTAACACATTGTAGTAGGCTGAATGGTGGACCCCAAAGAAGATTTTTCCACATTCTCATCTCTAGAAACCTTGAATAATACCTTATTTGGAAAAGTTTTCTTTGTAGATATAATTAAGGATCTTGAGGCCATCATCCTGAATTATCTGGGTATCATCTAAATTCTATGACTAATGTATAAAAGAGGAACACAGAAGAATGATAGATACAAAAGAAGAAGGTGATGTAAAAACACAAGCAGACATTGGAGGGATGGGGCCACAATCCAAGAAATGCCCTATCCATGAGAAGCTGGAAGAAATAATGAATAGAGTCTCCCCTAGCAACTTCTGATGGACTACAACACTGATAACACCTTGATTTTGGACTTCTGGCCTCCAAGATAGTGAGGATCTCTTGTTTTAAACCACCAAGTTTGTGGTAATCTGCTGCAGGATTTCTAGGAAACTAATATCTCATGTAAATCCCATAATTCTCCAGATTGCTAAGGACAAAACTAATATAGGACTTTATTTATGCATGCACTTATTTATTTGGATACTTAGTTGATTTTTAAACATAAATAATATTGATGACAAGAGACAAGATAAAAATTTTGAAGGTGGTAAATTAATAGTTGAAAAATATCACTAGTAAGATATTTATATGAATTTGTTCACAATGGAGAACAAGTAACTAGCAGAGCTACATGAAAGTACAAAAAGTTAGCATTTCAGGGGTGCAAGTGCACTAGAGATTTGTGAGTTAGGGTTGTCAGTTAAAGTTTTACAGAAAAGATAAAATTGGAATTTGGACCTTAAAAAAAGTAGTAGGGGTTGGTAAATTAGGCTGACTGAGGCAGAGTCCAAGCAGAAAAAAATCAGTGTAAGAAAAGGTAGCACTGAGAAACTTTTAGAAATGTATGACTTAATTAGATCTTATTATGGAAATCCTGTTCATTTTCTTTCATGTAGCTATGTAGCAGAATGTCATTATTTGCAGTTGATGCATGCTACATTATTTAGGGGCAAAATTTACTGATGCAGCTTACTTTCAAAAGTAAGAAAACAGGAGAGAGAGAGGAAGAGAGAGAGGGATTGAAGGGAGTGGGGAAAGAGAAAATAAAGAGGGGGGAACATGAAACTATGCAAAAATATGTTTCAAATGTTAACAACAATAAGTAACCCTAAAGCTGTTCATACATTTCAATCAAGAAATCGAACTTCTAGGAAATAATTAGAAACTAGAAATAAAGGGCAGGTGACAACCAAGTGCTCATTTGTAATGATATGTTGATATAAGAATTCAGAGAAGGGAGAGCAGTACATATGCTCTCAGCAAGACATTCGATCACAGATCATAATTTGTGACATAAACAAACCATATAATGAACCAAACCAGGAGGCATTTTCCACAATGTGTGGTTATAGAGCACCAGCCCCTAGCTTTTGTGCCCTAAGACATGGCTAGTGTTCTATGGTTATGTACTACAAGCATCTTATTTTACTAAATGTAAATATATCCTGAAAATGGCAGAATACAAAGTGCTTTAATCACCTACTATCTAGAATTTTCTACACACTGAACCAATTTCAAAGTCCCTTTAAATTCTGGAATTTTACTATACTTAAATAATGCATGGAAAAACGTATCTGGTATCATAGTTAAGCACACTGAGATTGTAAAATAAAGTAGCAATGCATGCTGGACAATATTCATACAGTAGATATTTTTATCTAACAATACAAAAACTCACCTTCCTCTTGGTATTAACTATCACTAAACTCCAGCAACTAGCAGATGTTTTGCAATAATTAGCAAGTTTTTATGTGCTAATAGTTTCTAAATGACAACAGCTAAGTAAACAAGACATTAAATTGAGTTTAATATCGCTAAAATACTACAAAGGAGTCTCAGCAATATATATGTAACAAATTCAATTTGATATATATATATATATATATATATATATATATATATACACACCATGGGCCAAATATTTAATGATAAATAAAAGATAAATATGACTCCTAAAACCAAAAGTAATCCATGTAGTTTATCTGGGAATGAGTAAATACTGTATACACAAAATTGGATACTCAAATTTATAGGCAATTTTCAAAGATAATTTTGACTGTATTTGGGTTTCATTTATACAGTGGATTAAAATTTAACTGTGAGCAAGATGGAACTTTAATATATAGCACAGAATGCTTATCTATAAAAAATAATGTTTTGAATCCTTGTTCAAGGCCTGTTTTCTTTTCTGTAAAATGGGAACCCTGAGAATAGTGATGGTTAATTTTATGTTCCAACTTAGCTGGACTACAGTGCCAGATATTTGGTCAAACATTGGTGTAGATGGTTCTGTGATTGATTGACTGATGGACTGATTGTTCAGTTTTGATGAGACTAACATTTAAATCACTAGCTTTGAGTAAAGTACATTAACCTTCATAATGTGGATAGACATCTGCTGCCAGCAGTCTGCTTTTGGACTCAAACTGCAATTCCTCCTGTGTCTCCAGTCTGCTGGCCTATCCCATCAGATTTTGGACTCATCATGCCTCTGTAAAGCACGTGAGCCAATTTCATAAAATCTCTTTATATTTACTAGGTATCTATCTATATATACATTTTATTGCCTCTATTTCCCTGGCTAATACAATATTCAATAGGATTATTGTGGAGATTAAAAAAGAGAATGTATTTAATCTTCACAATACCTGAAATATGAGATAGTGCTAGATAAATCATTGCTATGGTCTACCAAAGGTCTAATATTGCTCTTACAGCCTTGATCCCAGTGGTTGTTTCTTTTAGGTCAGATCTACTCTATAGTTGAAACTAAACCCCAGGCATTCAAATACTTCCTGGAAATCTATCTTCCTCCTTCCTGTCTCAGACTCCAAACATGTTAGAAAAAAAATGAGCTTCAGCTCTGCAATAATTACTGGTCCTCAACACTCTTATGGCTCAATATTAGTACCTGATAACTGACCTGTTTGAATACCTGCATTGAGCCACCTTCTGAATTAAGTTGGACTTCCAAGTTGTTTATGAGTTGATCCATATCTGGAAAAAATACAAGGGAAAGATAACTTTTAGAACAAGACCTAACCCACTCTGAATATACAGTATGCCACTTATCCTTGGTTATCCCTGTATGTGTTCTGAGAATACACTTTTTCAGGATTTAATAGATACTTAGAAGTCACTAAAACATTTAGATTTATTATACTCATCAAGATAGCCCTGATGTATCCCCAACATATTAGACTCCCACTTGCCCCCAAATTCTGCATACAGGTAATCTGTTTCTTCTAACCTCTCCAACCAGTTCAACTTCATAGGAATATCAGCATAACTACATAATTTCCAGAATCCTCTCCTCCTGATCCAGTTCCTATTCTCCTGAGTTCTAAGATATTGACCCAATTAAAATATCTATACATTGGGATTAAATATTCTCCAGAGAAGTATTTATCTGTTTACCTCTCTTAAATGTACAAACGGGGAGGGGGGCTAATAAAAACTAGTCTTCCCTTTCCTCTTTAGATATCTATTCCTTTTATGAAATGAGAGAGTTGGTAGCCTCATTCAGCTGCCTTGAAACATCACAATTTTTCCTAAAGCACCTGTCAAGTTCTCTTCTTCAACTAGATTTTCTTTGATTTGTGTATAGTCCAATCTCCCTAGAGAGAAAAACATGGTAAGGAAGCCAAATCCACAACTCACTTATGACTTGATCAGTGAGATATAAGATCACATTAAGTGTTCCCAAGTCAATTACAATGATTTCTCTCACCTATGACCTGATTACATTTCAAAAGTTCATAAATCTTAATTGTTTGGGATGTCAAATACACAGAAGTATTAATTTTAAAGGTCACATCACAACAGCCATTTAAGACATAATTCAGTTAAATACAACAAATACACAATCAACAAGGATACAAAATTATAATATTGTAACACAAAAATGTAAAGGAGGAACCTGAAAACAATTATTTCATTTGTTGAATGTCAAGAATTGAGAAAATCATCCCTAATTAGAGCAGAAACATACAAGGAAACCTAACATTTTATTTTATTTTTATATTTATTTTTTAGTTTTCAGTGGACACAACATCTTTATTTTTATGTGGTACTGAGGATCGAACCCAGCACCCCGTGCATGCCAGGCGAACATCCCCAGCCCTGGAAACTTAACATTTTAAAGCACCATATGTCCAATTTTATTTAAAAATTCATGACATCTTTGATGCAGGTATATGAGAACTGTACACATAACCTCCATTCATTCAACAAACATAGATACTGTGTGTCCAAGGCTGTACTAGGAACATTACTATGATTTTGGGCTGTGGGCCAACCAGACATGTGGAGAGCCAGAAAAATGTAGCAGAATCCTGTCCTGGTAGTCTGATGCACAAGAACCATTTCACAATTTTGACAAGGCCTTTTTTTTTTTTTTTTTAAAGATTCAACTCATCTGTCTAGAATGAGAGGATTTTGAACTATCTTCTGCATAGCCCTAAGGCTTCTATGGAACTTCTCAGGGGTGATATAATGGAGAAAGAAGTATAGCAAAAAATGAGAAAGAATAAGAACAGTTGAGTCCAGAACTCAGAAAAATTATAATTTCCAAAATAATTTGACCTCCTTGCTTTTTCCACTAATATATTCCAAGGACCTAGAACATTGCCTGATGCATGTTAGATGTTCAATAAGTTTATGAATGTTTTTGATGATAATGATAGGAAAAAAGGCAAGGAAATATGTTTTCTCAAGCACAGGAATTGGAAAACAGTAGGACAGAATGAAAGAAAATTAGAGAGAGCATATAAGAGAGATGCCTGTTGTATGATTAACTACAAAATAAGAGGTGTCAGAGAGGACAGCAAAGCATTTTCTGATTCCTGGAATGGGAAAATGGAGTGTGATGATAGAAAAACAGTGTTAGGTCAGATAATTCTTATATAGTCTACATTGTTGGAGGGAAACAAAAAAGCTGGAACTTGCTTTGTTGTTACCAGGAAAATTTATAGGAGAATGTGGAGAGAATTCAGTTGTCCCCCTGAAGTCACAACACCTTGACTAAGCCTCATTTTTCTAGCCAGGACAATTTACAAGAGCCATGTTCTATCTGGTTTTCTTTAATTCCTATGGATTAAGAGAAAACAGGACTGAGGAAGAAGAATGACATTGAAAAACTATTTAGCCTCAATGAAGCTCGTTTTCTTTACCTGCCAAGAATGGGGAAAAATCATATTGCCTTTACGTACGTATAACTGCACTCAAAATAATTCTTGGCATATAAAAAAGTCCTTATTAACCACTCTCATGACCATCATCACAACCATTACTATCATTATTGTTTATTTTGGTGCTGGGGATTGAACTCAGGGCCTTGTGCATGCTAGGCAAGCACTCTGCTCCTGAATTTACAATCTCCAGCCCTCATTATTACTGATGGTCAGAATCTTGAGCTGTGACTCTGAATATCTCCTAAGTATCCAACAGGTCCTTTATACTCAATAAGCTCACAAAATGCTCATTTATTTTTACATATTTTATTTCTAGCATCATCATCAAGCTAATCTATCAAGCTAAAAATCTGAGGGTCACTCAACTTTGACACTTCTCTCTCTCTCTCTCTGTCTCTCTCTCGCTCGCTCACTCGCTCTCTCTTCAACTGGTCATCAGCCACAACAAATTCTACTCCAGAAATACCTCTTAAACCTGGATCTTCATCATTTGCCAGCCACTTCTCCTTCTCGTACACTCCATATTGTTACTGAAGTGTGATAAAATGTGTGGGTTCTGGAGTGAGTGCCTGAGGTCAAATTCTGGTACTGAGACTTCTTAATAGTAAGACATTAGGCAAAGTTTCCCAGCTCCCTGTGTCTGTTTTCTCATCTGTAAAATGGGAATAATATTAGTTCATAGAGTTGTTGTGAGGATTTGTAAAATGGGAATAATAATAGTTCACAGAGTTGTTGTGATTTATAAAGTTAGTAAATGTTCAAGTGCTTACAACAGAACCTGGCACAAAGAAGTATTATCTCTTTTTCTGAATACCAGGTAAGCTCATCCATAGTTACCTACTTTTATTCCTCTTTCTTTTAGCAGAGTATCTCCTATATACTATGATCTAATGTCTGGTGAGTAAATGAATATATGATCATGGGAATAAGCAAAGTTAGAGCCACATCCAGAACCACAGCTGCTTATCTCCTAAAGCTTTAATAATAATTGTCAAGAAACCTAAAAATATCTCTTGCCCTATCTACATTACAAATATTTTAGTCAAATGGCAAAGGGAATAGATGACAAATAGGAATGTCTCAGCCATTTCTGGTTGAGAAATTATAGGAAATGCCAGTTGGGTAAAAAAAATAAATAGCCAAATGTCATCAAATGAATAGCCAAATAGTCATTAGATAATTCTCATCTATATTCTACATGTTGGTAGGAGTGACTACAGAAAGTTTTGGGAAGATGTAAAAACTTCCCTTTTAAAAATTTTGTATCTTCAATGTTTAGTCAGGTAAAATTAAAAAATAAGGAATTAGGGCCCACTGAAGGTTTTTTAAAAAGCTGTTTTTGAAAAAGAGGGCTTTATAAACCTCTTACTTTATAGAGTCAGAATTGCTTCTCTAAGTATCTAGGAGAGACCAGACAGATGCACAGAAGCTGTCAGTGAGGGAAGTAGTGAGAAAATATGCAAAGGTAGTTATAGTACTGGTCTGGGCCATTCAGATGTGAATCACCCAGGCAGGAGGGCATCAAAAATGAAAATTACATACTTAAGGTAACTATAATTCTGCTTGGTTTGGCTCTTCGAGCCTTTGGGTTTAGAAGCTATATTTCCTGTTCTTTCTTCCAGGGGCAGGGATATTGGAGAAAGGAAATAAAGGAGAATTGAGCCACATCTCCAGTGGTCAATGTCTCCCATATGTAAGATAGAAGACCATGAGCACAGGAAGTTGATAAGATTATGTACTTCTGTCATGTTCCAAAGTGTATTTTTTTTTTACCCAACTGGCATTTCCTATAATGATCTGCTTGTTTTATGAAAGTAAACGGTGCCTCCAAGGGATAGGAGGAGATGGCTCACTAAGAAGACCACATCCTACCCTTTGGCCAACCTTGGAAGAGGAAAAATGCCTAGAGATGAAATAAGAACTTTAAGGAGGGAAGCAAAGCAGAGTTATTAGAGCCTACAACTAAAAAGAAACAGGGAATAGTATACACATTTAAGAAGGGACTTAGTGCCTTAAGAGAATAGAGACTTTGGGCAATGCAAATAATAATCCCTCTTCTGTATCTGCACAACTCTACAACAGGGAAAGAGATAGCATTCATATAATTCCCATTTCACAGATCACTGATTTGGAGGCTCAATGACACACAGTTTAGAAGTCCTGGAATCAGAACTTAAACTTTTATCCTCTTAGTGCCTTCTCACTACTTTTGAATACCTAAAATCTGGTGAGTACATTCTTCATGAAAAACTGTCTGCTAAAAGATCAAGTTTGAAGACAACAAAATAATCACTTAGGAGGACCTTATACAGTTATTCACCTACATCCTCTGAACATAAAAAATGCTGAAACTATTAAAATATGAGAAACAATCTTTTAGTGTTTTGAAATTATGGATCATTTTTTGAAAAGTGCTACCTATATTTTTATTATTAGAAAAAATAATTAAAGGACTAGAGTACACATATATTTTAGATGGTTTATTATATATCTTCTAGGGGAATAGAAAGTAGTGTTAGGATGGGTCTTTACAAAAACCTTCAGGATTAAAGTTACTCTGTATCATGACATTAACAATGGAATGGTGATAAAAAGCTCTATAATAGTCTGTATTCCCCAAGTACTTACTATGTGTCAGGTACTGTTCTGTGAAAATAATATTATCACATTTACTCCTCACAATCCTTGTAGTGAGTACTACCCTATTTTATTGTTTATTTTTTGCAGTGCTAGGGATCAAACCCAGGGCCACAGGCATGCTAGGCCAGCACTCTACCACTGAGCCACACCCCAATCCTCCCCATT